GTTGATGGGAAAGGGAAGGACAATTTAAACACTCATCGAGATTTGCAAGATATGGGAATTCGAAAGGCACTACATCCTCAGAAAAGGGTTAGGAATAAGTATTATTTGCCTCCTGCATGTTTTGCCATGAACAATAGAGAGAAAAGTTTATTCTGCACACTTCTAAAGAATTTCAAAGTTCCATATGGTTATGCATCCAATATCTCTCGTCGGGTTAACCTCAAACAGCGTAGCATATTTGGACTGAAAAGTCATGATAACCACATACTCATGCAACAAATACTTCTAATAGCAGTGAGAAATTTGTTACCGAAGAAAGTGGTTGAACCATTAATTGAGTTAAGCAATTTCTTCAGGCAGTTGTGCTTCAAAACCCTAGATGTGGATGGTCTAAATCGTCTTCAGTCCCAAATTGCTCTTACACTTTGCCATTTGGAGAGAATTTTTCCCCCATCATTTTTCGATATAATGGAGCACTTACCCATTCACCTAGCAGAGGAAGCAAAGATTGCCAGTCCGGTGCAATATCGATGGATGTACTTTGTAGAAAGGTGTGTAATTCTACTCCAATGTCCATTTTGTATATATTTGCTTGTTAATACTTTGTAGAAAGGTGTGTAATTCTACTCTAAAGTCATGCATGCATCTTTTTGTTTATAGGTACCTTATGACGCTTAAATCATACATGCATAATCGAAGTCATCCTAAAGGTTCAATTGCACAGGGATACTTAGTCGAAGAATGTATGACATTTTGCTCAAGGTACTTGCATGATGTTGAGTCAAAATTGCATCGACCGTTAAGGAATTGTGATGTTAGCGACAATCCTCAGATATTAATGGGGCGAGCTTTAGGAAAAGGAAAAGGGTTTGTGCTTGATAACACAACATGGGTACAGGCTCATCGGTATGTGTTATTTAACATCGTTGTGGTTGTCCCATATCGAGAGTAAGATAGACACAACCTTTGTCTCATTGTGAATATAATTATACCAACTATAATTATCTTGCATTTTACAAATAGTTTAATTGTGTGGGGAACATCGTGAATTTATTAAGTGGTCACATCGTCCTCTCAAAGATTATGATGTGGATCGTCGTCACAATGATGAGTTTCCCAAATGGTTCAATCATGTAAGTGCATGTTTCCAATTTCCAATTCTCATGATTTAATTTTTTTAATCCATGTGTTTATATATTTTTGAAGTTGTTAATTAATGTTTAATATTTATAACTTTCTTTTAAAAATAGGATGCAAAGCTGTTAGCTACTGAAAATGTAGTGTTGTCAGATGAGATTAAAATTTTGGCTTTGGAACCCAGCCAAAGGGCCACCAAATTTAACGGGTATATAATTAATGGTACTGGGTATCATACTAGGAGTCATGAGTTGAGAAGAAAAACTCAGAATAGTGGGGTGATTTTGGTTTTACACTTGTTAATTTCAATGACTTGTTATATGCGAAGAAACAAGACAGTGATGAGCCATTCATCCTAGCATCTCAAGCACAACAAGTCTTTTATGTTAATGATTCTGTTGATGAAGATTGGAATGTTGTACTCAAGATGAAACCTAGAGACTTGTATGAGGTGTGTGGAGAACAACCAACTATTGATGAAGGACTACATCACAACGAAGTGGAAGGATTTGGTGATCAAGAGTTAGATGTAGCTTCTTTCACTTGTGAGGAGGACATGGATTGGGTTAGGCAAGGTATTAATGGAACAACTGTTGATGAAACTATTGGACCTTTTGAAGCATCGACAGAGGCACCATTTGAAGAGGACGAAGAAATGATATGATATTGTAATTGGTTGCATATTCACTTTTACATTTGTGTTTTCTGTACGGATATTCATGTTAATAAAATCTTTGCTTTTATACCTTTGTAGTTTTCTTTAAATGGCCATTTTTACCTTTCATGTACTCTTATTTTGTTTTGAACACAGTTTCTTTATAGATTATCATGTCCTTACTTTTATGTTTGTAGTTTCTTTATAGATTATCTATGAGTTCTAACTCCGAGAGTTCTTCTAGTGAGAGTGAGCAATCAAGCTCTAATAGTTCTAGTTCAGATAAGACTCATGCCACACTTAAGATGAGAGTCATACCCGATCCACCGGCATCATGGCATCCACCAGGCAGTCTTCCTACCATATCATGTAGTGGTAGTACATCACATGGCTCAGTTTCAGCTAGTACGTATAACTATTTTCAGATTTTACTGAACTATTTTATTTTTTTATTCTTGTATCCAATAGGATCTGCTGGCAGTCTTCATTCTTGTACCCAATAGGATCTGCGTAAATAGAAAATTGATGACAATAGAGCTAGTTCTAGGCTTCTAGCTTAACTGAAAGCAATTGCTCTAGGCAACCCTCACTGCATCCTAGCTAATTCAAAATGGGTTTATGAATTTAAAACAAACCAACTCACTCTGCCTATTTAATAAACTGGTTGTAGTTGGTTGGGTTGAATTGGATACGGGATGGAACGATGATATTACAACTTGACTAAAATTGTAAAAGGTACATTGTCACAGTTGAAACCAAAAGAATCAAAATGAGATATTAGTGGAAGTATAGGGATTCTAAGTGTAATTTACTCAAAATTTAATGAAGCAGCACCGGTCCTAGTTCTAACCATTAGTGGAAGTATAGGGATTCTAAGTGTACATTGTCACACTACTGCATGAGAAACATGTTTTTTCGTTGCACAGTTTGCCTGATTCTTGAGATCAGGCAAATTTAATATGTATAAGATGAATAATTTAATATGTAATTAACATGTTGTTACCTGGTGTCCATATAGCAAGAAGGTATGGGCTTGGATCATCGGGTTCTCGTTTATCCAGCTGAATAATTTAGAGGGTGACATTTAGTTGGGAGGAATCTATAAAGAAGAGGAGGAATAACTTACCCCTTGTAGGAGAGGGTGTGAATCTGGAAGTTCATACCTGCAGCAGGATAGAAGGGGTTAACTGTGCAGGGAAAAATATCTTAACAAGGTGTATATCTAACAGTTTAATGTCTAAATGGTTTGTATACTAATAAATCAAATTTTCAAGTGATACAATTGCCCATTATTCTTTGTTATGCCAAGATCTCCTTAACCCTTATTTAATCAAGACTAATCCCAATAAATACACACAATGATCTGCAATCCACATGTCTTGGTAAATCCAGCAAGGATAATCAACTTGATATTACTGATTACAAAGCCTCTGCCTTGCTAAGTTGCACACCTCAGTTTTTGTTTTGGTTTTTGACTTTCTTTGTGCAATTTCTGAATGTAAGCTGGAATTCAAGTTTTGAACAACAAAGAAGAGACAAGAGTGTTATACTCAATGTATGTTTTATCACTTCTCTGTTTTAGCATTCAACTGAGCAAGACAAGAACTAGTGATGCATTATTTAATAACAGTACACTCTTCTATATCTACCTTCTGTTCTTTATATATATATTTATATTTAATCAATTCTTGGGCCCTGTTTTTGTTTTTTCATAGGTCCTAGCTCAAGTCAAGCCACACAAAAGCAGACAAGGGGTCCCACATATGTGCATGGTCAATGGGGTACTTCAAACGATGGCGTTTTAAAACTTGTTTCAAATGAGTTGAATCAAGTAGTTGAAGGACACACACCCCTTGCTTCACATTTGGGCGTTTTGGCACGAGATAGGAGTCTTGCACCACTCACTTTTACGACTTGGCATTATGTCCCACAGCAAAATAAAGATAACATATGGAGGGAGATAAAGGTAATACAGATATTTAATATGAAATAAGTTGAAATGCATATTACAATTGGATTCCATATGAAATGCATATTACAAATGTAGTTGACATTGCATATTACAAGTGTGTATAATTGTAATGCAGGCTCATATGAATGCAGATGATTCCATGAAGAGAACAATAATGACTTCATTTGGGAAGAAATGGAGAGATTGGAAAAGTCGCGTGAAAAATATGGGATACACACCCTTCAAGAATGATGCAGAAAGGTTGGCTCATCGACCGGATAGAGTACATGAGGATCAGTGGTGGGCTTTGGTCTATTATTGGGGCACTCAGAGTGCATCGGTACAATTTTATTTATGTGAAAAAATGTTTATATATGATAATTTTTGATAATATCTCAAATGAATTTCATATTTAACAGAAATCAAGTAAGAAGCATAGAAAAATCCAGAAGAAAAAGACACTGCATCATAGAACAGGCCGAAAGCCTTTCTTGGTAGTTCGAGTGGAGGTATAATTAGACATTACATCTTGGACATATTTTGAAATTTGTTAAGTTTTTAAGTTAAACAACTTATAACTTAGCTAGCTCAACTTATAACTAAACTAAATCAAGTTTAATATGTATAAGATTGAAAATTGAAATTTATTATCTTTAAAATTCATCTTCTCATCTTTGTCTTACATGTTTTGTTTTATCTATCTTTTATTTACAGGAGACAAAAAAGAACAATGGGGTTCCTGCTAGTCGGCCACAGGTGTGGATGGCCGCATACATGAAAGATGGTACTTCCAATAGTGATTCAGTTAATAAAGTTATGGTATGTGATACTACTTTATTGGACTTTTAATATGATTTATATTGGATGCTAATTATTGAATTCAAAATTGCAGACTCAAATGAATGAGCTAACGGAGCACATAGAGGGATCTTCTTCGGACCCTGCTCCATTAAATGAACAGATTTTCACACAAGTTATGGGGCCGGAGCGACCTGGTCGTGTTCAGACATTTGGATTGGGACCATCCCCCACTGATGTTTTTGGAGGTAGATATAGGCAGTCACAAGAGCAGAATCACATCTTCCAAACTCAAGTTCAAGAACAAATTGAAGAGCAACTTCAACGGTATCAAATGCAATTAGATTCGAAGATGAATGACATAATGGAGAAACAAATTCAGGCTATACGCACAGATTTTCATTTACGAATTAAGATTTTGGAATCTCAATTACAAGCTGCGGGCGTGCCCATTGCACCAGTTGTTGCAACCTCGAACCCATTACATAGGCAGCAGGTATTTTTATTATTTTTACTAGTTATTACTTTAAATTGCCCAGAGCTACTATACAACTTAAGCCTCTTATTGAATGATAGGTTGTTGATTCACTTAGTAGTCATCCCGCTGTACGGCCAATGTCACATCAACAACAATCTCATGCATTTTCATCCCAAGAGGTGAGCAATCATTTAATCAAAGTTTTTTTTGACAATACAATATCTTATTAATTAAAATACTTGTTCTGATTAAATATAGGTTCACCTTTCAAAGAAAGAGAAGAAGAAGAAGAAGAAGAAGAAGAACTAACAAGGTAAAAGTTCTAACATCACTAGTTTTCTAATAATCTACAAATAATTAACTCAATTGTGACATTGACGTAGCCGTAGGTGTAACAATTTAATGGCAACTCCTCAACCTGCGAAGTGTTCATAAGCAAATAGCCTTCACAATTCATTTTTTATGCACACAGACTGTTCAAAAAACATTAGTAAAGAATTGAATATCTGTCTCTTTTAGGATTTTGTTTGAAACTTGCTTCAATCTGTCTATATTATGTAGCTGTTGGATATTATTGTTCATTGTCTCTCTGAACAAACTTGGAAATAATAAAATATTGCTAGATGCTTGTTCCCATTTAGTGCAGAGGATTGTGGGGGTTTCACATGTTAGCTGTGTGAGATTGTTTATCCATTTTATTTGTAATATAAATTTTGTTTTGTCTGTGTATTTGATTATTGGGACTAGAATAGGGTTGCATAGTGGGTTAGAAAACAGACTACAAAGGCTACTTTTGTTGGTGTATAATATTCTCTTGCCATGATTGAGTATTCTTTTGTTCTTGGCATTTAGTTTAGGTGTGAAAAGAGTCCAAATTCTCTCTTTGGAGCATGAACAATCAAGAAAAGTTCTATGTTCTAACTGTATGGAAATTCCTTGAAAGCTCAAGGACCTTGAAGGCTGAAAGACCTTAAAGAAAAACATTGAAATGCAATTTTGACGGCACTGTTAATACACATTAATAACATAGGCAAATCACCTAATTAGTTTATGGTTCTCTCTTAGATGATTTTGTTTGAACACTGTAGTTATTGAATTTGTAGAAACAATCTATAATGTGGCTAAAGTAGATCCATCCTCGCATAACCTTCTCTAAAGTAAGAAAAGTTCATAAACTGGTCATCTGTGTATTTGAATTCAAGCTCTCTGATGTAATATTACCTTTAGGGCATCACTGCTTTGCTTGTTGGCTTTATTTAAACTTGTTGTTTCCTTCAGGACAAGGTTTTGAGATAGTAAAAGGGCATCCTCTGTAGTTTTGTTTTGAACAGGTTTGGCTTTTATGTTTTTCTTCTCTCCCTGATTAATTACAGTTTTATTTTCTTTCAATAGACTTTTCACTCACACAGAGGTTCATCTAGATGCGGATTTTAAGTACGAAACACACCCCCAAAAAAAATAAAATAAATAAAACAAATTACAAAATACAAAATCAACTATTTAATTTAAGCAGCAGATTGAAGTACAGACCATACTCCTTGGAGGTTGCTGTGGATTTTTAGTTGCGCTTTTGAAATTGTGTTTTATGTACAGATTATAAATTTAACAGTTTAATTTAACTTTTAAGTAGAAATATTATTTATCTCTTCATTGTTACTTCAATTGGATTGCTGAAACTCTTGGGCTCTACTAGTTGCATAATTTGTCTTTGGTGATGTATATACGTTGTCTTTTGAATGTATGATGATTATTGCAAGTGTTTTTATATTATCAACAATTAATCAGTTTTCATGTCAATGACTGTGTATAGGTGAGACCTTTATTCTATACAACCAGCAGACGAAGGGGAACAAAAGAGAGTTAATTCAACTTGGAGCTCCTATTTTTGGTCATATAGAAGAGGAAGCAACAACTAAACATGAAAAGAGTAAGTAAAGCTTCTCTGGTATTTCTTTCACAGGAGTCCCACCTTTCCAGCCAATTCCTACTCTTCTTCAAAGCGTCATTGACCACCTGGTTCAGTGGCATCTAATTTTTTGCTGCATCATTGTGTTCCTCTCCTGATTTTGTTCAAATAATGTGTGAGCTAAGCTCTCAAGACTTGTTTTACTATGCCTCACAGTTTATTACATTCTCCTAGATGTCTTCTTTTGCTCATTTGAGACCTGAACAAGTTCTTTTGGGAGGCTTTATTTTGTGGTGTTATATTGAAAATGAATTACTTCTTGTAGAACATTGCTTATGGAATACACATGCTTAAATGCTTTGTGTGTTTGCAGCTGCCCATCTATGCGTCGGAGTTACATTTTTATGCTACTATTGCTTTTGAGTTATGAGCAAGGTTGTGTGTGACTTTTAGCTGGTGTTGATTTTTGCTGCCAAAAGACTGCTGGTGTTGATAAGAAGAAGGTTGATTTTTTGGTTGAGAATTGTGAATTTAATTTTTGGATATGGTATTTTGTGGGTAATGATGATTGGATATTAAATTGAATGAGAAAGTGAATTAATATTGCATTTACCATTTGAATGGGAATTATTATTTCATATTAAGGCTATTCAGTTTTATTATAGGTATTTTTTAAGTTCAATCACATAAAATTAGCACAATTAAAAAACAGAAAAAAAGAAGAAGAGGATTTCACGACTTTTTTAAAACGCCACCTATACTCTAAAAAACTAACGGTCAGTTTTTTTAAAAATATAAGACGGCGTTTTGAAAACGTCGCTAAAAAACATAGTGACGTCATGGTAGGGACATTTCGCGGCGTTTCTAAAAACGCCGTCTATACTAATATCACGATGTTTTTAAAATGTCGTAAAGATACAGCGACGGCCGCATTTTCGACGCTTGGTACTAAACGCCGCAAAATGAACTAACGGCGTTTTTGATAGATATAGCGGCGTTTTTTAAACGCCACTAAAAGTCCAATTTCCAGCAGTGAGGCTAAATATATTTTGTACATATTTATAAAAAAATATAGGATTGAAAAATTGGAATACATTATTAGAAATGATTAAAGATTTGAGAAACCAATTTGACAGAATAACTACATGTTGAATAATGCAGGATTTAAGGAAATTAAACTAAATGAACGAAGAGAAATAAATTTGATTTGATGTGTTGATTTTATTTTTTATTTTTTATTTTGATCAGAATTTTGATGTGTTGATTGATGATAGATTTTTTTAATATTTAATTTTTCTTTTCCTATCTTCAAATCTCATATTTATAGTTGCTGGAAACAACAGTTTACTTCTGGATATATGTAACTAACCTGTGATTCTTGAATGCTAAGTAAAGGCCAACTACTCTAATGCCATGTTTGGTTGAGAAATTTGGGAAGAAATTTGGAAAGAAAAGGAAAAAAATAGGTGAAATGTGAATAAAATATACCTAAATTTCACTTAGTTTCATACACATTTTTAATTTTCTTTTCTAAATTCCTTATCAAATTTTCTAATCAAATACAGCATAATAGTGTATCATCATGTGGTTTACTACTTTATAAATAGTTTGTTACTAACTTTTAGGGGGGAGCATGGTCCGGATTAGACCGGATTAGAGTAAAACCAAGACCAATCCGTTATCTACGGATCTTGAAAAATTGGAACCAATCCAATCCGTTTAAATCGTGGAACCAATCCGAACCAATCCATTTAAACACGAATTGGATCGGTTTAGGACCACAGATTTACATAATTAAATAAAAAATATATATATATATATATAACACTTTAATTTCGTAAAAATATAAATATAGCACCATATTAGTTTCATAATAACAACATGTCTTTTCATAATAGTGACAAACTGTTCTAGAATTTAAACAACCATAAGAAAACTAATTCCACCATAAATATTTAGACCATTTGAAATTAACACTAAAAACTAGCAAACAAAAGTAATAAAAGAAGACACTATGCAAGTTTAGGTTTGAATTTAAGTTTTATATGAAATAAGAGAAGATACTATGCAGAAGGGTGTATAATAAAAATATAGACTATTTGTATACGGTCCAGATCGGTTTCAATCCAGAACCGTGGAGTTCAATCTAGAACCAATCCGTGAATTACGGATTTTTAATTTTTCAATCCGAAACCGAACCACGAATTCAAAAAACCAATCCAAACCTACTGGATTGGACTAGACTAGACTGGATTGGATTACGGATTTTACGGATTCCTTGCTCAGCCCTACTAACTTTCCCTTCTTTTGCTCATACTTTTTCTATTCCATGACTCCTAAGGTCATGTTTATTTGGGCGGATTGGATAAGGTTGGATTACCATTCCCATGACTAATAGTCTTAGGACTACAAATCTTTTTAGATTGTGTATCATATCCTATGTTTGGATTGAATTATGATTATAAGGAAAGACTAATAGTTCAGACTTTGACTTAGTCCTCCAATTTATATCATATCCCCTATGTGGGATTGAATAGTCTATTATATACGGGATACCATATTCGAATGGATTGTTAATCCGTACTTCAATTGTTTAACCAAACATCGAATTTATAATTTTATTAAACTATTAATCCAATCTCAAACTCAGAAGATAATGATGGCCTTGTGCAATGGAGAGACAGAGGAAATCAATGCAAATCCTCAACCCTTTGTTGCTTGTGCTGACTTTGCAGAGGCCAAGTTGTATACTAAAAGAGTGACACCACTCGGTACATTAAGAAAACCTTATGGTTCAGCCGAAGTGACAGCTGATGAGGACGTAGCGCACCTAAAACATTTGGTACAGGAGAGTGCTGATGAAGAATTAGTCGTCAAAGATGATAATGATGCCTGCTTGTAGGCAAGAAGATGAAGCCTAAAAAGCCAGACCTTTAGCTTTAGTCAAGTTTACAGCATTAGACTTAAAAGCAATAGTCAAAAAGGTTCAGGAACAAGAGAAGAAAACCATGGTAGTTGGCTGTAAGCATAAATAACAACAGGTCAGACCTTTGACCTTTGATAAATACTGTGCATTGGACATCGAAACAAAAGTCCAGGAAATATATGAGGAAGAAGCCTTATGGACAGACTTTGTCTGTGAGGAGGAGGGCAAAGATGTTAAATCAGAGAAAATGGGAGTAGAACAAAGCAAAGAAATTGCTTCGAAGACAGAAGAAATCAAAAAAGAAGCATTAATGAGTTCTCAAATACAAGACCCCTTGGAAGAGGTTAGTTTAAGGGAAGGTTCTACATAACAACCCACCCACATCAGTGCTTGGTTAAGTGCTCTTGACAGGGACCAGTTGTTGATGGTCTTACAGGGATATAAAGATTGTTTTGCATGGTCTTGTA